TCGCTCGTGCCGAGCTCGCGGAAGGGATGGCCGATCGCGCCTACTTCCGACGCTTGCGCGAGGCCGCCAGTCGTGAGGCCGCGGGCTTGCCGCGTACGGCTCCCGTCCAGCTGGGTCGGGATTGGCGCAAAACTCTGCGCGCCGTCCTGCACAACGCTGAGGTCTCGACGGGCCTCGCCAACGCGGATCGTGCCGCTCGTGCTGGGGACGCCCCCGCGTCGTCCACTGGGCGCTCCCTGGCCGAGGTGGAAGCTGTGGACCCGCGCGCCTTGGCGAGACCTGCCGACGACCCAGCGTCCAGCTTCAGCCGTCGTGAGGGGCGCGCGGTCCGCGCCCGCCTGGGCCCGCGGGACGAAGCTGTCGAGGACCAGCCCAATCGCGGTGGTCACGCGCCGCACTCCGCCTCGCGCACGGGCGCCGCGCGCAACAGGCGCGCCAAGAAGCAGCGGCGAGCTTCGACGGCGGCGCTCCCCGCCCCTGAGGGGGGGGCCGCCACGACGCCGGGCCGCAGGGCGCGTCGCACTGCTAATGCGCGCCGCTGGGCAGGCGCGGCACGCTCCAGCTCCGCCGCGGGAGTGGGCCCTTCACCGCGGAGCCGCAGCCCTGCCCGCAGCCGCACGCGGTCACCGAACCCGTACGGGACTGATCACACCTCTCCCTCGGGAGGCTGCTCCTCGCCTCCCATCGACGGCTCGATCTCGCCTGAGGAGCCGTCGGGGCCGCCGGCGGGGGAGGCATCGGAGGGCCCGCACACTCCTGACGGGTCTCCGCCCGCGAGCGCCCGCAGCCGCTCGAGAGCGGAGCCCGCGTGCGAGGAGGACTCTCCGACGGAGCTCGAGGACGTCGTGCTGAGTGCCCTCGCTGACTCCTCGGTGGACCTCGAGCGCGTCGTGGCGGGCCTGAACCCCGAGGTCCTCCTCCGCTTGCAGGCGGCCTTCCCTCGCCGCGCGGAGGCCTCTCCGCCCGCCGCTCACGCCGCGGCTCGCAGCCGCTCTCGGGGCCGCGGCACGCGTGCAGGCTCCGAGACGCCGCGGCCCGTCCCCCCGCCGCCGCCACCACCCCGTCACCACTCTGGTGGGCGTGCGGCGTCGCGATCCCGCGGGTCGGCCGCCGGCCAGGGGCTTAGTCGAGCGAACGCGCGCGACTCCTCTCGTGCGCCTTCGCGTCAGGCGACGTCGCCTGGGCGTCGCGAGGTGCGCTCCCCTCGAGTCGCTCCGAAGCGTCGCCCGAGCCCCGCCACTTCGCAGCAGCCAGCCACGCCCCGCCATGGTGCGAGCTCGGACGTCGCCTTCGCAGGCAGCTCCCGCGCGGACTCCGCTGCTCAGGCCCCTCCGACTTCGGTAGGCATGCGCTCTTCCAGCGATGCTGTTGCGGCCCCGCAGGGAGGAGGGCGTGCCGCCGAGGAAGGGGGGTCTTCGAGTGGCTTCGCGCTTGGCCGAGCTTCAGAGCCCGAGCTGCATCTCAGCGGCTTTCACAGCGGTGACGCTGGAAGCGCCGCGGCTGCAGCCTTCGCAGCGCGGCGCACGGCCTCTGCGGCCGCTGAGCAGCCCTTGCCTCCAGGGGCCGCCAGCGCCCTAGCGTGGCGCCTCAACATCGGCGGTGAGAAGATCACTGTGGTGAGGTGGGGACCCGCCTGGCAAGCTGCCTTCCAGAGCGCGGCGTCGTGGCTGAGGTCTTTCGCACCCGCAGGGGCCGCCGAGCCCGAGGGCAAGGATGACTTGCACTGCCTCCTGCGGGCCTTGCACGCCTACAAGCGCCTGTTTCAGACAGGCGGCGCCGAGCCGATCGACGAGGCCTCGTGGTTGCATCCTTACGTGGCCGTCGTCGAGCCCGAGGCTATCCCCGCGCATGCTGACCTCCAAGCCATGGGGGCGGGCGCCATCCGTGGCATCGGGCTCGGCTCAAAGATCGAGCAGCGGCGGCGCGCGGGCAAATTGGCCTGCCTTTTCGACCTTCTGTACCACGTGCAGGACAGTCACGGCGCCATCCCAGCAGCGCTGTGGGGATCCCACTCCCCTCCGTCCGAGATCCTCGACGCCTTCGCGGAGGTGGTGCCCGTTCCACATCATTCGGGTTTCACGTCCTCGGCAGCTCGTTCCGAGCTCGCCGAAGCAGCCGCAGCTGCGCGTGCCGAGCCGCGCCCGCCTTTTGACTGGGCGACCCTCGAGGGAGGGGACGCTCTGCCAGCCGAGATCGAAGCAGGGGCTCGCCGTGCCTACCGTAACATGGGCGGATCCTTCAGCTCGGCGCGGGCGATGCTGGCGGAGGCGTCGGGGTTCGAGACCGACGGGCGGGACGCCCTCGTTCCGCCCTTCTACGCGTCCAGGCGCAGGAGGGCCGCCACGCTGATCAGCTCTCCAAGCCCTGGCCGCCCTGCGCTCATCCTGTGGTGCGTCTGCGGCCTCTGCATCTCTCTGGGAGCCGCGGCGCCGACCGCAGGCCAAGGGCTTAGTCGGGCTGCGCCGTCCGCGCCCGCTCGCCCTCCGCGCACTCCCTTCGTGCGCGATTCTCACCTCACCTCCGCGTATCTCGACCGTCGCTCGAGATCGATTGATGCCTTCGAGCTGTGGTTAGCAGAACACACTGGCGTGCCACCCGCCACACTTTACCGAAGCGGGATACTTCTCGCCCGTTTCCTCGCGACCTTCGGCGTGTGGCTTCATGATGCAGGTTTCCCTCATTATATTTTGGTCCATGCCATCTTGGGAATCCAAAGCGCCCATCCGCATTGGAAGGCCTTTCTGACAGAAGCTTGGGACGTAGCGAAACAATGGAAGCTTGCGGAGCCGCCAAAGCTCCGCCCCCCCTTGCCACGCGCGCTGCTGCGCGCCATGGTCGGGCTCTGTCTCGCCTGGGACTGGCCGGTGATGGCGGCCCTGCTGCTCATGGGCTTCACGATGTTCCTCGGGCCTGGCGAACTGCTGGCGTCACGCCGCTGTGACCTGTCGCTTCCATGCGACCGTCTCGAAGTTGAAGGGGATGCTTTTCTTTCGATTCTTGTTCCAAAGACCAGAAGAACGTACCCGACGCAACATGCTCGCTGCTCCGATCGGGGCACGGTGATGATATTGAATCATGTGTTTGGGAGGTTGGCTTCCACCGATCCTCTCGCCCCCTTCGGCGCGAGCGGCTTCCGTACTCGGTGGAATCATCTGCTTTTGGCTCTGGGCGTCCCTCTTGCCAAAGCAGGTCAGGGGCTCAACCTGACGCCCGCTTGTCTGCGGGGCTCTGGCGCAACAGACTTCTATATCGCTACGGAAGACGTCCCCCGCGTCTTCTGGCGAGGGCGCTGGCGTCAAGCTTCCAGTGCCGAGCGCTACCTGCAAGCCGCCGCCGCCTCCACAGTTCTTGCTGCGCTGCCCGAGCACGCACGGGCTCGTATCTTGTTCTTCGCCACCGCCAGCGACCGCCTTGTCGCTTCGTTCCTCCAAGTCGGCCCCGCCGCTTGGCCTGCCCTGCTTGCGGCCGCCCGCCAAAACCTTGTCACTTCGCAAGGTCCTTGAGCACGGGTATGGCTGCCTCGCCGACATCGGCGACCAGACGGACTCCACCGTCTGACGCGCGGCGCCCCGGCTTGAGCGCGCGGGACGGGCCTGCCCATTTTGGGCCGCCCCGCGCGCGCACGCCGCGGCCGCGCTCGGAGACAGCTCGCTAGCGCGCGAGCGGGAGAATGCTTCTTCTATTCTCTGTGAGCAAGCTCCTGCTGTCTCCGCAGCTTCTCTGCCCCCCTCCCTCCTCTCCCACTCTAAGGCTGACGGGCGCTGCCTCGCCGACATCGGCGACCAGACGGACTCCACCGTCTGACGCGCGGCGCCCCGGCTTGAGCGCGCGGGACGGGCCTGCCCATTTTGGGCCGCCCCGCGCGCGCACGCCGCGGCCGCGCTCGGAGACAGCTCGCTAGCGCGCGAGCGGGAGAATCATCATCATCGCCATCATCAACATCATCATCATCATCATCATCATCATCGCCATCATCAACATATCGAGCTCACAATCGATCTCACTATCGATATCACTATCGATCTCGCTATCGATCTCACTTTCGATCTCCCAATCGATCTCACAATCGATCTCACAATCGATCTCACATTCGGTCTCACATTCGGTCTCACTGTCGATCTCACAATCGATCTCACAATCGACATCATCATCATCATCATCATCATCATCTTCGTCAACATCAACGTCATCATCATAATCATCATCATCATCATCATCATCATCATCATCATCATCATCATCATCATCGCCATCATCAACATCATCATCATCACCATCATCATCATCATCATCACCATCATCATCATAATCATCGGGGACCATCACTATCGGGACACCGACGGGACACCGACGGGACACCGGCGGGACACCGCGCGCCACCAGCCGCCCGGAAGAGACACATTTGGTCCGGCCGCGCCTCAGCCACAGGGACACCGACGGGACACCAGCGGGACACCGGCGGGACACCGCGCGCCACCGGCCGCCCGGTGGAGAATCATTTGGTCCGGCCGCGCCTCAGCCACAGGAGACTTTCCTCTCGCCCGCCCACGCAGCTTCGCCTCGCCCGCACGCACGGCACGCACGAACACGAAACCGAAATCGATTTCTCGGTAGGGGGGCTCTCCGTTCCACTTCGATCTCACCCCCTCACCTCCGACAGATAAAACAGAAGGTTTTGGAGGTCCGCGTGGATTTCTCGGTCCAGCCGTAGGACCCCTCCCTGGCGCGCAAAAGCGCGCCAGGGGCGGCGCCGGAGACACAGCCAGTGGGGTCCATTGCCGATCCAAGAAATCCGCTCGGACCTCCGAAAGGTTGTGCTTCTCTGGTGCTTACGTTATGCTGATGTGGTGCTTACGATGCCTCCCCGACCTGGAGATTGCATGTGCCTTGAGCGAGACGCCGCGAAAAGCAGGGGGACCGCACTGCCAGGACGGCCCTTCCTGGCTCCTCTGGTGGTGGTGGCGGTTGTGGTGGTGCCGCTCCTTGTTGCATGCTCGCAGGAAAAGGCCACGCTGAGCTTCGCCCTGAAGAAGCTCAAATTCACAGACAAGGCTTAAGTCGGGCCTGTACCTCTACAGGAGGAATCTTCAAAAGCAGTTCAAAGATCGTCCGGGGACGATCTTTCGACTACTGTCTGACTACCCTTTTGAGCATTTTCAGAGTATGTTTTTTTTGTTCGTCCAAGATCCGCCGGTAGCGGGACGTGCACGGCCTAAGACGAGGCCCGGCAGTTCATGGAGGATTCGCTCCGGGACGTCAAGACGGTCACGCCGCGGCATCGGCCGCCCAGGGCGGAGGAGGCCGAGGAGCAGCTGCCCAGGTCGAAGGAGGAGGCCGAGCCCTCCCTCGGGTCGGGGGGGAGCACGGGATGAGGAGGAGGCAGGAGGCAGGAGGAGGAGGAGGAGGGGAAGAAGGAGGAGGAGGAGGAGGAGGAGGAGAGATGAGGAGGAGGAGGCGGACGCTGAGGTCGACGACGAGGACGAGGGTCGACAGGGGGTTGGTGCAATAGATTTGGTGCAATAGATTTGTGGGGTTGCAATAGATTCGGGGCGTGCAATACATTCTAGGGCGCAGATGTGTTGCTGGATTTTTGCTTGCCGGGCCGAGAATCAGCTGGATCAGAGGGAGTTCCAGGGTTGTCCACGGTTCGATCGATTCGATGATGCGTGCCGATGCCGTTGCATGCGCGCGGCATCGATCGATTCGATTCCGCTCCCCCGAGGTCGGCTTCCTCCTCAACGACGGACGAGCGTTGGGGTTCGATTCGGTCCATTTGCAAGGGCAGCCCTCGGACAGGCACGGGGCTTGACTTGACCCCCAGCCACCAACAGCCTCGAGAACAATACGGGAGCGATCTGCCGACCCAGACGCCCACAGCCCGTCTTGCGGCGATGCCGAGGCCAGAGGGAGGCCGTTGCACGGCGGAGGCCAGTGCACAACCCGTACCGCTCCCGGGCCCGCCCGCTCTTCTTCTGGGTGCTGCCAAAGGTGGCCCGGGCCCAAGGCGTGATCCTCGCGTCGTGTTTCGGTGCCGCTGGGCCTCTTCAAGACCCTCGTGAGGAGGAGGAGGAGGCGGAGGAGGAGGAGGGTGCCCTGAGGTCACCTGGACCTGCCTGGAAATCCTGGGGGCACCTCGGGCCAGAGACACCTCCGGCAGCGCCCGGAGCTCCGCCCTCGGCTTGTCGGCCCCCGCTCCCGTGGCCCCTCCCCCCTGCAGGCCAGGCGGGCGCGCGCCGACGTGGCCCAGCGCACGGACTGCCCCTACCTGGGTACAATCAACAGGCTTGTCTCTCCTCCTGCTCTTGCTGCCTCTTCAGACTTCGGGGAGCAAAGGCCCACACACACACACACACACACGCACAGACACGCACACGCACAGACACGCGCACACGCACACGCACACGCACACGCACACGCACACGCACACGCACACGCCCACGCTCACGCTCACGCTCACGCTCACGCTCACGCTCACGCTCACGCACACGCCCACGCCCACGCCCACGCACACGCCCACGCACACGCTCACGCACACGCTCACGCTCACGCACACGCCCACGCACACGCACACGCTTACGCTCACGTTTACGCTCACGCTCACGCTCACGCTCACGCTCACGCTCACGCTCACACTCACGCTCACGCACACGCTCACGCTCACGCACACGCACACGCACACGCACACGCACACGCCCACGCACCCTCACCCGCACCCGCACGTGCACGCGCACGCGCACTCGCACTCGCACACGCACACGCACACGCATCCGCACCATCACCCGCACGCGCACGCGCACGTGCACGCGCACGCACACACGCACACGCCCACGCCCACGCCCACGCCCACGCACACGCGCACGCGCACGCACACGCACACGCACACGCACGCGCACACGAACACGCACACTTACATGAACACGCACACGCACACGCACACCACACGCACACGCACACGCACGCGCACGCGCACGCGCACGCGCACGCGCACGCGCACGCGCACACGCACACGCACACACGCACACACACGCACACGCACACGCACACGCGCGCACGCGCACGCGCACGCGCACGCACACGCACACGCACACCCACACGCACACGCACACGCGCATACACACGCGCACGCACACGCGCACGGACGCGCGCACGGACGCGCGCACGGACGCGCGCACGGACGCGCGCACGGACGCGCACGGACGCGCAAGGACGCGCACGGACGCACACGGACGCACACGGACGCACACGGACGCATTCGGACGCACACGGACGGACATGGACGCACACGGACGCACATGGCCACACACGGACGCACACGGACGCACACGGACACGGACGCACACGGACGCACACGGACGCACACGGACGCACACGAACGTTCACGAGCGCACACGGATACACGCGGACGCATACGGACGCACACGGACGCACACGGACGCACACGGAGGACGCAGACGGACGCACACGGACGCACACGACCACACACGGCCACACACGGACACACGGCCACACACGGACACACACGGACACACACACACACACGGACACACACACGGACACACACGGACATTTACGGACACACACGGGCACACTCTGACATTTATGGACACACACGGACACACACACACACGGACATGCACGGACATTTACGGACACACACTGACATTTACGGACACACACGGGCACACACGGGCACACACACAGGCACACACAGACACACACACAGACACACACAGAGACACACACAGAAACACACACAGACACACACACAGAGACACACACAGAGGCATACATACAGGCACACACAGCGACACACAGAGACACACAGAGGCACACACAGAGACACACACAGGCACAAACACAGAGAGACACACACAGACACACACAGACACACACAGACACACACAGACACACACGGGCACACACAGACGCACAGACGCACAGACACACAGGCACACACAGGCACACATAGACACACACACAGACACACACACAGCCACACAGACACACACGGACACACAGGCACACACACAGACACACACAGACACACACAGACACACACACAGACACACACAGACACACACAGACACACAGACACACACAGGCACACACAGGCACACACACACCCACACACACAGACACACACACACACCCACATACAGGCACACACACACACCCACACACACCCACGCACCCACACACAGGCACACAGAGGCACACAGAGGCACACATATTCACCCAGAGGCACACAGATGGACACAGAGGCACACAGAGGCACACAGAGACACACAGAGGCACACAGAGGCACACAGAGACACACAGAGGCACACAGAGGGACATAGAGACACACAACGACACACAGAGGCACACAGAGGCACACAGATGGACACAGAGGCACACAGAGAGGCACACAGAGACACACAGAGAGGCACACAGAGACACACAGAGGCACACAGAGGCACACAGAGACACACAGAGGCACACAGAGGCACACAGAGGCACTCAGAGGCACACAGAGGAACACAGAGGCACACAGAGGCACACAGGGGCACACAGAGGCACACACAGGCACACAGAGGCACACAGAGGCGCACAGGAGCACACAGAGGCACACAGAGGCACACAGAGGCACACAGAGGCACACAGAGGCACACAGAGGAACACAGAGGCACTCAGAGGCACACAGAGGAACACAGAGGCACACAGAGGCACACAGGGGCACACAGAGGCACACACAGGCACACAGAGGCACACAGAGGCGCACAGGAGCACACAGAGGCACACAGAGGCACACAGAGGCACACAGAGGCACACAGAGGCACACAGAGGAACACAGAGAGGCACACAGAGAGGCACACAGAGACACACAGAGACACACAGAGGCACACAGAGGCACACAGAGGCACACAGAGGCACACAGAGGCACACAGTGGCACACAGTGGCACTCAGAGACACACAGAGGCACACAGAGACACACAGAGACACAAAGGCACACAGAGGCACACGGAGACACACAGAGACGCACAGAGACACACAGAGACGCACAGAGACACACAGAGACACACAGAGACACACAGAGACACACAGAGACGCACAGAGACACACAGAGACACACACCCTCACACACCCACACACACACACCCACACACACCCACACACACACACCCACACACACCCACACACACACGCACACCCGCACACACACCCACAGCCCCAGACACACCCACACACACCCACACACACCCACACACCCCCACTCACCCCCACACACCCCCACACAACCCCACACCCCCACACACCCCCACACACACCCACACACACACCCACACACCCCCATCCTTGTTCCTTATTTGAATATACCCCCACCTACCTCGTATTGCGGCCGATAGCGACCCAATCCGGGACCCCCCATCCGGACTGTAAAACATCAATACAAAGTAGCCGTTTTTCTTCTCAACATCGTCTGTCTTGTCGTCGACGATGCGAAAAGCGTGGCAGGAATGGGACGCGGCGCACATCCCGCGCGGCAGTCAATCTGGGCCCGCCCATCCTGACTGCAAAAAATAAATACAAAGTCTTCGTTTTTTCCTCTCAGCATGGCCTGCCTTGTCGCCGACGGTGCGAAACATGTGGCAGCAATGGGACGCGGCGCACATATGGGACGCGGCGCGCATCGCGCGCGGCCGTCAATCTGGGCCCGCCCATCCTGACTGTAAAAATCAATACAAAGTCTCCGCTCTTTCCACTCAGCATGGCTTGCCTTGTCGCCGACGGTGCGAAATATGTGGCAGGAATGGGGCGCAGCGCACATCGCGCGCGGACGTCCATGCGGGCTGCGGGCCCTCCCATCCTGATTATGAAAAACAATACAGAGTACCATGACCTCTACCACTACCACTACCACTACTAGTACTACTACTACAACTGCTACTACTACTACTACTACTACACTACTGCACTACTACTACTACTACTACTACTACTACTACTACTACTACTACTACTACTACTACTACTACTATTACTACTACTACTACTATCACTACCACTACCACTACCACTACCACTACCACTACCACTACCACTACCACTACCATCACCACCACTCCCACTACTACTATTACTATACTATTACCACCACTATTACTACTACTACTACTACTACTACTACTACTACTACTACTACGACTACTACTACTACTACTACTACTACTACTACTACTACTACTACTACTACCACTACTACCTACTACTACTACTACTACTACTACTACTACTACTACTACTACTACTACTACTACTACTACTACTACTACTACTACTACTACTACTACTACTACTACTACTACTACTACTACTACTACGCTACACGACTACTACTACTACTACTACTACTACTACTACTACCACCACCACCACTTACTACCACTACTACCACTACTACTACTACTACTACTACTACTACTACTACTACTACTACCACCACTACCACTACCACTACCACTACCACTACCACTACCACTACCACTACCACTACCACTACCACTACCACTACCACTACTACCACTACCACTACGCGCCAGCACCCAGATTGCGCCAGCATTGTTTCTTATGTTGTGGGAGGGCGGAACGTGTCCGTTGTTCCTTTCAACATGGCCAGTCTTGTCGTCGACGATGCGAAATGCGTGGCGGGAATGGGACGCGGCGCACATCCCGCGCGGACGTCATGCGGTGTCCTGGGCTATCCCCCACTCGCACTGAAATGCCCGCGCAGCCCCCAGTTGTGCCACCACTGTTTCTTATGTTGTGGGAGGGCGGGTGGGAATGGACATGCCATGCTTGACTCGCTCGAGCTGGCTAGCTTGACACCCCCACCCCCCCCACCCCAGACACCCACACACACCCACACGCCCCCACCCCCCCCCACACATTTTCAATTCCCCTCATTCCCCCCCCCCCACATCCTTAGTTCTTATCCTAAAGCGCCCCTAAGCCCCCATCTAGCCGGCCGATAGGAACCCCGCCGTCCTAGCTGTCAAAAATCAATTCAACTTTTCTTCTCGCCAAGATGTCGTCGAGTTGCGAAAAGTGTGGCAGGAATTGAGCGGAATGAACATCGCTTGGGGGCCCTAAGTGGGTGGTCGCGTCATACTGATCGAAAACAACCATTTGCTCGACAGCCTGGACTTTCTTGTCGTCGACGCTGCGACAAGTGTAGCAGGAATTGGACGCGGCGCACATCGCGCGCGGACGCCTGGCCAACCCTACGCGGGACCCCCCGTCCTACCTGGCAACAAACATCGCAACGTCGACGTTTTCCTTGCCAACATGTACTTTCTCCTCGTCGGCGCTGCGAATCGCATAGCGGGAATGGTACGCGGCGCACATCGCGCGGGGAATCTGCTCGTCAATGTGGATTTTCTTGTCGTCGACGCTGCGGCCCGTCGGGTTGAGGAGCTGGGCGGGCGGCAAGTCATAAAGCTTCAAGCAAGTGCGGTTCGCCGCCGGCGCGCCCATTGTCGTGTCCACGTAGGAGAGACCTCGTTTTCTCCCCTCCTCCTCGTCGTCCTTCCCCTCCTCCATGCGCTGCAGGAGCGAAGCGATTGGCGGTGCAACGCACGTGGCTGGAATGAGACGCGGCGCAGTTCGCGCGTTGGACATGTTGTCGCCGACGATGCAACATGAGAGGTCGGAGCGGGGCGCGGCGTACATCGCGCGCGGTCTTGTTTCCCGTCGACGTTGCTCAATACGCGGCAGGAATAGGACGCAGCTCGTGTCAAGCGTTGAACGTGTAGCCGCCCGCGATACACGATGGCCGGCAGGCGTCGGACGCGACGCATTTGCTTGTTATGTCGTGGGAGGGTGGGTGGGAGTGGACGGAGCGTTCTGGCTCGTTCGAGCTGGCGAACTTGACCCCCCCACACCCCCCCACACCCCCACGCATCTTTATTTCTCATGAGTAATCACCCCCAAACCCACTTAGCCGGCCGATAGCAACCCCGCCGTCCGAATTGTCAAAAAAAAACAGCGATTTTTCTCGCCAGCATGTCGTCGACTTGCGAGATGTGCTGCTCGTCAGCATGCATTTTCTTGTCGTCGACGCTGCGGCCCGCCGGGTTGAGATGATGGGCGGGCGGCAAGCTATAATGCCTCAAGCAAGTGCGGTTCGCCGCCGGCGCGCGTGGTTGGAATGAAACGCGGCGCACTTCGCGCGCTGGACAGGTTGTCACCGACGATGCAACATGAGAGGTCGGAGCCGGGCGCGGCGTACATCGCGCGCGGTCTTGTTTCTCGTCGACGTTGGTCAACGCGCAGCAAGAATTGGCCGCAGTTCGCGTCACGCGCTGAACGTTTAGCCGCCCGCGGTATAAGATGAACGACAGGCGTCGGACGCGCCGCACTTGGTTCTTATGTTGTGGGAGGGCGGGTGGGAGTGGACGGAGCTCTCTGGCTCGTTCGAGCTGGCTAAGTTGACCCTTCCACACCCCCCCACGCACCCCCACGCACCCCCACGCACCCCCACGCACCCCCACGCACCCCCGCACCCCCACACATCCCCACACACCCCCACGCACGCCCACACACGGCCTCACACCCCCACGCGCCCCCACGCAGCCCCGCACACCCCCACACACCCCCGCGCACACACCCACGCACACCCCCACACTCCCCCACACACACCCACACACCGCCACAACACACCACACACCCCACACACCCCACACAACACCCACACACCCCCACAACACACCCACCCCACACACACCACACACACGCCCACACACCCACACCCCCACGACACCCCCACACACCTCAACACATCCGCACACACACACCCGACACATTCCACACACACACCCCTACGCACCCCCGCACACCAACAACCACCCACACTACCCACACACACACCCACCACCCACCACAACACACGCACAACCCACACACACACCCCCAAACACACCCACACACACACCCACACACCCACACACACACACAACCCCCGCACACACACGCACACAAACCCACACACACACGCACCCGCACTCACACACACCCCCCCCGCACACACACACACACACACCACACACACACATACACCCACACACACACACACCGACCCACATCCCACACGCACAAACACCCCGCACACACCACACACCCACACACACACCCACACACACACACACACAACCCACACACCCACACACGCACACCCGCACACGCACGCACCACACACCCACACATCGCACATCACGCAACACACACCACACACACACACGCACGCACGCACATACGCACACACACGAAGCACACACGCACCACGCACCGCATACTCGAACACACGCACAATCGCACCACGCCCACACACGCACACGCACGCACACGCAAACACCCGCACACACTCACACACGCACGCACGCACACGCACACGCGCACACCGCACGCCGCACACACGCACGCACGCACACACGCACACACTCAACACACGCACACGCACACACGCACACACGCACACACGCACACACGCACACACGCACACACGCGCACACGCACACACGCACACGCGCACACGCGCACACACGCACGCACGCACGCGCGCACACGCGCACGCACGCACACGCGCACACACGCACGCACGCACGCACGCACGCACACGCGCGCGCACGCGCACACGCGCACACGCGCGCGCACGCGCACGCGCGCACACGCGCGCGCACGCACACACGCACACAGTCACACGCACGCACGCACGCACGCACGCACACGCGCGCGCACGGGCACACGATCACACGCGTACACGCGCACCAGCACGCGCGCGCGCACGCGCGCACGCGCGCGCACGCGCGCACGCGCGCGCGCACGCGCACGCGCCACGCACACCCCCCCACACCCCCACGCACGCCCACACACCGCCACACACCCCCACAAACCCGCACGCACCCCCACACACACACCCACACCCCCTACACCCCCACACACCACCACACGCCCCACACACCCCCACGCACCCCCACACCCCCCACACCCCCCACACCGCACGCAACCCCCACACACACCCACGCACCCCCACACACACACACACCCACACACACACCCACACACACCGACACACACCCACACACACCCACACACACCCGCGCAAACACACACGCCCACACACCCACACACACACACCCACACACATCCGCACACACCCGCACACACCCACACACACCCACACACACGCACGCACGCACACGCACACACGCACACACGCACACACGCACACACGCACACACGCACACACGCACGCACGCACGCACGCACACACGCACACACGCACACACGCACACACGCACACACGCACACACGCACGCACGCACACACGCGCACACGCGCACACGCGCACACTCGCACACGCGCACACGCGTACACGCGCACACGTGCACACGCGCACACGCGCGCACGCGCACGCGCCCACGCACACGCACACGCACACGCACACGCACACGCACACGCGCACACGCATGCACGCACGGTTATGCACCCGCACGCACGCAAGCGCACGCACACGCACGCGCACGCGCCCACGCACACGCATACGCACACGCACATGCATACGCACACACACGCGCACACACACATACTCACACACTCACCCTTTCACACATTCACATACCCTCACACAGATACTACACACCACACACATATACACACTTGCGGATGTCTTGTGTCGGCGCTGACCCCCCTTTAACGGTGCCTCCGTTGCCGCCCCTAGCGCGGTCCGCGCGCCGGGAGAGGGGGTCCGCGCACGTTCATGTTGGTGATTGTTGCTCCAAGCACGTCGCCGACACATCGCCGATGCATCGGGGGCCTCTGGCCCTATCTCGGTGAACACACGATTATATATATATACATTTATCTAGAGAGAGAGAGAGAGAGAAAACAAAAAAAAAAACTCAGAGGTCCGCGCGGATTCCTCGGATCGGCGCTGGGCCCCCCTGGCGGCGCCTCTGGCGCCGCCCCTGGCGTGCTCCGCGCGCCAGGGAGGGGAATCCAGCGTCGATCCGAGATGTTTTGTGTTGATGGTATTGTTGTTCGATCCAGCGTCGATCCAGCGCGGACCTCAGAGTTTTTGTGTTGATAGTATTGTTGGTTCCCTGTCGGCGGCCTGCAGCTTCTGCTGTTCCTGCTGCTGCTCCTGCTCCAGGCTGCTGCTTCCACCAGGGGAGGTGGGCTGCCGCAGACAGGGGGGCCGGCTCCCCAGGCACGTGCTCGACTTTGACTTCGAGAAGTTGTGCTGTGTGTCACTGTCTGGCTGGAGCCTCGGAGGTACTTATGCTGTCGATCAGCCTCCGATCACGACCAGCAGCGCATTCGGCATCTCGCTTACTGCACACGTAAAGCGTCTGCCATCGGCCGCGATCGCCACTCCGTCTTCGCATCCATCCTCGGAGGGCTCCATTTGCACCCGCGCCGATCCTGGCCAGGCCGATCTCGGGCCCAGGATCGACATATGTGCCTCGACCTGTAGCCTGGCCAGGAGGAGTGCGCAGGCACCGATCCTGGTCGCAGGGTGGGCGTGATCCTGGTCGGTGCCCGTAGGGATCCGCGCAGGGTCGGCGTGGCCCTGGCGCACCTCTGCACGCCGAGGCGAGAACGTGTACGTGGACCTCGTCGACGGGAAGTACTTCCAGGGCCGCGGGAAGGAGACGCACGCCTACCGCCACGCCCTGGAGAAGGGCCACTACGTGTGGATGAACGTGGTCGACGGCAAGGTGTTCTGCATCCCCGACGGCTACGAGGTGCCTGCCCGTTTCGGTGTCCACCCTGCGCCCAGCCCAGGTTTTCGCCGTGCCCCTCGATTCTATAGTTTTTTATGTAGCTATATTGTTGGTGTGTGCTACCTCGATGACGTCGGGGTGCGAAGTGTGTGAGTATGCCCACGGTGCGGTCACAGGAGTTGCCTGCCCATCGCCTGTCCGTCTGCCTGCCTGCCTCTCAACCTGTCTGTCCGTCTGCATGCCTTGAGGGCTCGGCGCCAAGGCCTGCCTCTGGCTGTTCGGGCGGGTGCGGCGCCGACTTGAGAGGGAGGAATAGTTGGAGGAGGAGGAGGAGGAAGACAAGGAGGAGGAGGAGCACCAGCGGCGACGAGGTGGTAGACAAGTCGCTCGAGGACATAAAGTTTAACCTGCACCCGCTGTTCGACGAGGAGGAGATCTTGCAGACCTCCACAAAGGTTCGGTACGCAAAAGCGCTGGACGGGACCGACTACATCCCAGGTTCGTCGCGGGAGGGCGGGGTGTCCTCAGGCGTTCGGCAAGTCTTGCCGTGTCGACTTGCGGGATCAAACCACGCAAATCGAGGTGCACGCGAATAGCTGAATAACAAAACAGCAGCAGAAGCATACGCTGGATGGAGCAACCATCGCCCCCCCCTGGATCCGCTGGGGGGGGCTGGGCACGTGCTGTCGGAATGGGTGGAGGGGGGTCTTGAGGAAGAGGAGGAGGATGAGGAGGGGGCAGAGGATGGAGGGGTGCGGGACCAGGCAAGCTCCGACATCATCCGGAGTAAATGCTCGGAGGTCCGCGATGATCTCTGGGGCCGGCGCTGGACCCCCGTGGCGGCGCGCTCCGCTGCTGTGCCACGGAGGGCCAGCGCCGATCCGAGACGTCCGCGCGCACGCCCCCGACAGTTTGGTCATGCTTTTTGCAGGGTTCTCTGGTTCTGTCAGCGCTCCCCCGCTGGGGAGTGGTCTATATGATTTGTTTTTGTTCTCGTTCGCGGATTCTGGAAGTGTTCCTTCTGGAAGCGTTCCCCTCTTGTTCTTGTTCTCTGAACGCGTTCTCTGGTTCTTGGTATTGTTATCGTGTGTTGGAGGCGTTTTCCTGTTCCTGTTCTTTATTGTCTTCCCTCTGGAAGCGTTCCCTCTTGCTTTTGTTCTCTCGTTCCTTTTCGTTTGCAGTTTCGCTTCTCCTGTCGGCATGCGGGGATCAGGCAATTGCAGATCGAGGTGCATGTAGACAGGCCGACGTGTATCACGAGAATCTCGAGGTGCATCCCCAGATGTGCAATCTCCAGATGAGCGACGCAAAACAACGGGATCGTCTTCGCCGACATTCGCGCGTAAGCTGCCCGCGCAAGGACGCGCGTAAGCGCCTTCGCCTCAAATGTGGCGTGCCGCGCGGGCGACCCGCCGAAGCCGCCGTGTAAGAGCGCTACGTCACCTCGCGTAAGACCCGTTTGTCTTCGTCGCCCAGATGTGCTCAGAGAAGCCGCGCAGGCTTCAGCGCGGGTCGAGGAATCGCCGCAGCTGTCCAACCCTTGGCGGCGGGGGAGCTCCTGGTGCGTCGGGAACCCGAGAGGTACCAATACCGCTACTCCCCGGGCCTCTCCCGGTGTGCGTTCTAACCAGGATTTCGAGGCGAATCCAGCGGTGGCGACGAGGGCCTCCCAGGAGGCCCACAAAGGCGACAATGGGCGAAGGGTAGAGGTACGGTATGGGTACCCTTTCCTCCTCCGAGTGCGTGATAATTCCGTCGTGGCTGGGATCCTGCTGCCCCCCTCCTGGTGGCCCTCTCCTCGATCTCGGCCCCGCGCCTGCCATCCCCGGCCGCCTCTCCTCAGGGCCCGTTTCGATCCAATCGGCTCCATTCGATCTCAGTTTCGGCCCGACCGATCCGATTCGATCCCGATGCTCCGACGATCCAATGCTTGCATGACGCCGTTGTACATTTTTGGCACTGCCGATCCGATCCGATTCCGACTCCGCGTCGATGGGGCCCGATCTGACGCGCATTCCGAAGTCGACCCGGTATCCCGAGCTGATGCTGATTGATCGTGCCATCTCTCCTCTCCATCTGTCTCCGCGCCTGCCCCAACCTCCTGGCCCTCTGCTGTCCCTCTCTCCGCCCACACCGTTCCACCACGCCCTCCCTTCAGACCTGTTCTTTCCCCGCCCCGCACAGCAGGCTGCATAGGGCTGAACAATATTTGCAGCTCGGACTACCAGAACGCTCCTGCCCTAGCGCGCCGTTGATACCCCTGAGGAGGAGCACCAGGAGCATGATCATAAGCACGAACAGCACTGGTTACGAGGAGGAGGAGGACGAGGACGAGGACGAGGACGAGGACGAGGACGAGGAAAAAAAAGAGGAGGAGCAGGAGGAGGAGGAAGAGGAGGAGGTGAAGGAGGAGGAGGAAGGGGGCGGGGAGAAGAAGGAGGAGGAGGCGGAGGAGGAGGAGGAGCAGGAGGAAGAGGAGGTGGACGAGGAGGCGGAGGCGGAGGCGGAGGCGGAGGAAAAGGGGGATGAGTTAGAGAGGGACGAGGAGAAGAAGGAGGAGGAGATGCGCCTCCATGTTATACAAGGGGAGGGCAGGCAGTGCAGGACCCTTTGGGCCCTCCTACTTCCCTCAGCGTCTGATGCCATGCTGCCTTAGCTGGGCTCCTGTTCCCGATGCTCGTCTATAATGCATTGGCCTTGGTGCGTGGTGGCAGCGAGCCGGTGCAAAATGCGGAGGTGGATGATGATGATGATGATGATGATGATGATGATGATGATGATGATGATGATGATGATGATGATGATGATGATGATGATGATGATGATGATGATGATGATGATGATGATGATGATGACTAGCCGGCCGCTCTGCGGTTGATCGGGAGTTTCTGTATATAGAAGAAGGTGCGTGCGCCTGTTGGCGAGGGTGAGGATGAGGTTCCTCCTCCTCCTCCTCCTCATCCTCCTCCTCCTCCTCCATCCTTCTCTCAAGAGCAATTTGGCTCGAGCGATTTCGGCGCTCAGTCAGATCTTTCCCCGGGCTGCACCAAGCATTTGTGCACTCTTGAGCGCCGCCCATCGGCGGTGAACGCGGGGACGGTTGCATTTTCAGTTCGATGGCCAAGGGCAATGGCTCTGGCCAGCGGTGGATCTGCACGAAGTGTGGATGTAAAAGGAACCTTGCTCATTGGTGGAGGTGCAAGCATTGTAGGTCGCCATACAGTGAGTTTTGCGAGTGGTCTGGACGTAATGGAGACGAGGGCGGAGACGTTTGGTGGCAGGACTGGCAGGACGGCATCGCCCCAGGCACCGCTGCGCGCGCGACCGAGTCGACCGAGGCCGCTCCACCCCTTCCTGCCCGTCCTGGGCCTCAGCGCTTGGCTCCTGGCGCAGTGGTGCCCGCCTCGGCCTCGCCTGAGGCGAAGGTCGAGGACATCCAGGCGATCATCGACTCCCTCACTCGCATTGGCGACGCCAACGGTGCGGCCTCCTACTCCAAGCTCCTCGAGGTTCGGAAGGCGCAGCAGGCGGCGGCAACCATCGGCCCGCCCCTCCAGCACCGTGTCAACGCGGCTTTCCAGTCCGTGCGCGCATTGGAGGGCAAGCTCGAGCGCGCCGTCGGCCACTACCAGCGCCTCGAGACCCAGCTCGCCGAGCAGAGGAACTGGGTCCACAAGCTCAACTCTGACTTGGAGGCCGCCGAGGCCGAGCACACCCAGCTGGTGCGCGCCCTCCACGCCAACACCTGCGGACCTGGCGAGCCCAGGGCTTCTCCTGCTACGCCAGTCCCCAGTGTTGTCACCATCTCGATTGACGACATCCTCGAAGGGAAGTCCGACTTGCCCATTTCGCTGGGCACCTTCGGGCAGCTCGACGGTGATGAGTACGAGTTGGATCAGACTACCAAAGACGAGGCAAAGAAACGCATGGACACCCTGCAGGCCGACATCAAGGCAGCCGTGGGTACCCTCTTCGGGGCAGCCGCTGAGAAGATCAAGGCCGCCAAAGAAGAACACCAGAAGCTCATCGGACGGCTGCAAAAGAAGCGTCGTGCTCATGACAGCTCTGCTCTTCCTGGCGGGCAGGCTGCTGCTGCACCCGCCCAAGCTGCAGACGCACCTGCTGAGCCCTCGGCCGCTTCTGAGCCTACAGGAGGTGGTGGTGGAGCCCCGCCTGGCGGCGAGCACTCGGCTACAGCGACCTCCGAGGAGGAGATCGCCCGCCGTGCCACTCGCCAGGCAGCCGCCAACATCTTGCAACAGTCTCCAGGGGATTCCCCCCCCGCAGGTGGCTCGTCAGCGGCCTGAGGGGGGGAGTCCAGCTTTCATTAACTTTAGTATCTTGGAAGGGCTAGGCCAGCCCACCATCTCTCAGTTTTGGTCCCGTCTCCATTGGGTCAAACTGTGTGCTCGGCAGGTCTCGAAGTTTTTATCCCCTGCCCAGCCTAAGATGCCCAAGGTGGACCCTGGGGGGACCACTACCTCCCCTCCTCCTTCTGAGCCCCCCCCTCCTCCTGAAGGTATGTCCCAACTCGCCCTGATTTTTGAAACCGCTAATGTCTCAGGGTGGGCTTCGGGGCAAAAGTTTTTGTTAAGGACTTCTGCGCATGTGGTGTGCATGCAGGAGCATCACCTTCTGGCAGGGGAGCGTTTAAATCAAGCTAGCGCGTGGGCCTCTAGGCGCAGATGGCGTGGCATATGGGGCCCAGCGGCTCCAGGTGAGGGCTCGGGGTCAAAGGGTGGCGTGGCAATCCTCGTCCGTGACTTCCTGGGCTTGCATCATGGGCCAGCTTCTCCTACACCGTCTCGGGTTATCTCTGGAATCGTGGGGATCCCAGGAGGCCTCGAGTTCGCTGTCACGTCCTTATATCTTCGAGTCGGATCTGGCATCGACCAGTTCAACCAGCAGTTGTTGTCGGATGCAGGGTACGCTTCCACCAGCTCCTGTCTTCCTTGGCTTATTGGTGGAGATTTCAACTTATCCCCGATTGAGTTACGAGATCATGGCTTTCCTCCAAAGCAGGGTGATGGTGGGGTCATCCTCTACCCGTCCTGCTCGGGAACCTGTCACACAACGGGAGGAATGAGGATGAATGATTACTTTGTGGCTAGTCCTGGGCTTAGTACCGCTATCCAGTCCCTCGACCGCAGCTCCGATGGGGATCTCTCGCCGCACTGGCCTGTTAGGATGACCCTGTTCCCGCAGTATGGGAAGCTCCGAGCGATGACGCTCGCGCGGCCGCAGCGGATCCCTGTTGCTCGGCTGATCGGGCCCGTAGGGCCACCACCCGACTATTCGGCAGCTAAGGAGGCTATCCACGAGGCCCTGGCTGCTTCTCGGGCTGGTAAGGGGGAGGACACCCAGCTCTTGCTTAACAGTGCGTACAGGATCTGGGCGGACCTGGCGGAAGGAGAGGTTGCCAAGTCGGCGGGAGTTGATCTTAGGAAAGGCGGGTCCCGAGGGGCCGTCCCTGACATCATCTGGCAACCTGTGTACCTTCGCGATGTTAATCCCCCCCGCCAGCCTGAGTTGGTTTCGGTTAGGTGGCTATGGAAAGCCATTCTCATGCTTGAGGCCAGTGTCCAGCACCCGATGCTGCATGGCCTCTCTGATGCTATTTCCTACGGCTTCGCCGTCCCGCCGACCATTCTCAAGCACCAGGGTGAACATCGGCCGCTGTTTGAACGGGCTTTGGACTGTTGCTACTCCTCGTCGCTCCACCCCTGGCCCGAGGGCCACGGTTGCAGGATCAGTGAGTTTCGGGGTCTGGTCCGAGCTGCCCTCACCTCCGCTGAGCAGGTGGCCCGAGGGCAAGCCTCTCAGGCCTGGCGTTCTTGGTTGCTCAAGGGCATTGACAATGGAGGTCGCAACGTGCATATTGCGACCAAGGCCCCCACGCCTTGGCAGCCATGCACTGTCCTGTCTGTTGGCGGCAAGATTGTTAGCGATCCGCAGAGTCTTCTCGCGTCGGAGGCTCTTCGGTATCAATCCTTCTGGAGGGCCTCGCCGCAACCGCCTCCCCCTCCTGCTGTGTTTCGGCCTGCTCCTGATCTTCCTCGCCTCGAGCTGGACGCGGTTCGAAAAATCTGCTTGCGGCACAAGGAGAGGTCCGCGGTGTCCACTGATGGTTTCCACATTCGGCACCTGGGATGGTTGTGTGACGACGGTCTCCAATGTCTTCTGGACCTTTTCCTGGTCATGGAGACTTCGGGGTTTTTGCCCGCGCAGTTGGCGATTGTCATCATGTTTCTCATTCCCAAGCAGCCAGTGGGTGTGCGCCCCATCGGTCTCTTCACCTCGCCCTACAGGGTGTGGGCCAAAGCCAGACGTCCCATTGCTGATGCCTGGGAGCTCTCCCACGCCAGACCTTATTTTGCCGCAGGATCCTTCACAGGTGCAGGAGACACCGTGTGGAGACAATTGCTCCGAGCTGAAGCTGGTGTGGCATCCTCCAAGATCGCGGTGAATCTGTTATGGGATTTCTTCAAATACTATGAGTTGTTGCCGCTGGACCAGCTACAGCTCCGATGTTGTAAGCACGACTTTCCGCTTGCGGTCAGCCGCCTCGCCATCAGGGCCTATTCCTCCGTCAGGCACCTCACGCTCCAGGGCATGGTGTCTGGGGGGGTTTTCGCCCTGAGTGGTGTGGTGGCTGGCTGCAGCCTAGCCACTACTATGATTAGGATCAACGCTTTGGATCCCCTTGATGCGATACCTTGGCACCCAGTGGTCGACTTTAAGTTGTATATTGATGACAGTGGCATTTCGGCGGTCGGAGATTATCAAGAGGTGGTGCAAGGTGTCGTGGATGGGGCTCGTCATTTGCAGCAGGCCGCCGATGACATCGGCGCCGCCCTCTCGGCCGACAAGGCCACGCTGATTTCCAGTCACCGAGGAGCGGGGTTGGAAATTCAACAAAAGCTTGGGTTGGAGCTTTCGGGGCCCCTCGTCACCTCAGGAGTCAATTTGGGGGTGGATGACACGCAGGGTCGCCCCTTGCGCTCCCAGGGCCGAAACTCCAGGGCCAAGAGACGGAGGCGTGATGGGGAGGCCCGTGCGGCCAGGTTGGGGCGTTTATCTCGTCACCTCAGTCGCCGTCGTCTGCGTCGCTTGTGGGTCGCGGGACCCCTCCCTGTGTCCAGTTATGGTGCTGAGTGCTTCGGATTGAACCCCTCGGAGCTTCTGGGGCTCCGTCGTTCCCTCGGTCGGTTGCTGAAACCATCGGCGGGCC